TGTTTTTACAAAAGCAAATGTGAGAAAAAAACACATTTGCTTATGAAACCCTGCCATTTTGGCTTGCTTCTACAAATCTTTGAACTCCTTGAATGGCTATGGCAAATGTGTTTTGAGGTCATAACATAGCATTGTGCAAGGAACCATACAAATAAGTCTTTGTTAATCACTAATCTGCTCCCTAATCATAGTTTGTGTAAAAAGGAATAAAATTTGTTGTAGTTTCACTGCCTTGTGATCATTCATTATTACTAAATGTCTTACTTGAACGAAGACGAAACATTTTATTAAGGTACCATCAATGCTAAAATGCTTAATGAAAAGTAGACAGCAACAAATTTTGTCATCAGATGTATAGTTTCCAAAAAAGGTAAACCCTTGTTTGTGATATGCAGGGATGTCACACATAATCGCAACATGTTTGGGTAAATTCCCGTGATCAGATTCAGTAACTTTGGTGTTGTTACATAAGAAATTTATGGGACACTTACATAACAGTAACGAGCGTACGGGCCTGTGGGACGACATACTGACCCTCAGGGTGAGCAGCATGGTGTTATAGGTGATGGGGCCGCTGTCACCCTGCATTGCCACCCACATGCCAGATTGTGTGGCACCACTGAGAGTGTGAGAGCTCTGGCTTTATCTCACAGAGAGAAGAGGAATACATGTCATACAGTCGCATGTTCAGTGAGAAAGCTAATCTGCTAAACATAAAAAAATTATCAGATAAAAACTGCATGACTATTGTAATAAGAATTACTAGTGATTAGAAATAACATAATAACATAACATAAACCTGTCCTAAACTTAATTTTCGGAGTTTTCTCAGTCCACAAACTGACACTCTTCATTTTCATCAGAGCACTTAGTGTGCTGGCGAGCAGAGTGTGAGACGGAGATAAACAGCTAAGCAATATCTATATGTGCACTTTTAGATATTCAGCTGATTAGTAGTACCAAAGAAATGGATTATAATGAATGAATAAATAAATAAATAAATAAATACAGAACACAGAAATGCACCGTGTTGGATGGTTAGGGATGCATATTTTATATAAGGGTTGCAGCAGATAAATTCAGCTATAACAATGACAAGCTCAATGCCTGGCTTAACAACATAGACAAAATAAACTTCAGAGTTGGCATACTATTTGCATACAGTATATAAGAAATAGCACATGGATGTAATATCAGGATATTTAGTTACAACATGCTTTGTGTTTTAGCAATGACAAACCAAACACAGACTCATGCTGTATGCCTGCTATGCGAATACATTATAAATTCATTATTATCATTATTTGACTTTCAAATTGTTGAGGGAGAAGATATTGATAGCTTGGCTATCAAACACAGGCAGAAGGGCAGTTATCTGTGTATTAACGCTCTAGGACTCCAGAGAGTTTATAATTAGCCAGAAAAATAAATCTGTGCAGTCTAGAAGTGTCTTCTACTCACAAAAGAACTGGATTTACGGTGTTTGTAGGCCCAGAGCTCTATTAAGAATGGCAGTCTAAGCAATAGCAGTACAGTGCTTTTATAAAACTCCCAGATGGGAATTCACGAAAAGGTGCAAAATCAATATGTGCTACAGAGCACATTAGAAAACTAAATTAATAGCTATAGTATTTAGTCACTACTACAATCACCATACTGTACCATTGCAATTCATTTCATTTGGATAGTATTAGTTTGGCATATGAGACATCAAACAAACTACTTGAAGTTTAATGTCAACAGACTTAGAAATGTTCAAACAGCCAAACCTAAGCAAAACACACAGGACTATGTTCCATTCAGAGCATGATGTAGAGGCTTTCAATGTTTAACTGTTTCAACGGGTAACTCAGACCACAGCAACAATTTAGTCATGCAAATGCAGCACATATCTAACTTACTACAGCATGTCTTACAAAAATCTATTCAACATCTGGACAGTTGAACACTTTAAAGTCTATAATCTGTGAACAGTAGCAATCAGTTTGAGCTCATGTTACTTCAAACCCGTCCATGAAACTGCTAAGCAAGGACAGCGTGGTAGCTGAAAAACAGCCATCGGATGAGCCTGTGTGTCCGGCAGTGCTGGGGATTTATGAAATTACTTTCACTGTCCTTGTCTGAATTGTGTTTTTAATAAGTCACACACTGCTCAAACGTAGAGCATAATATGACATGCAATATGAGCTACAGTGTAACTCTGAATCACAGGTATTGTATGGTGGTGTGGGGTGTATTGCAATTAACAAATGATATGTTGTTGGCAATTAAAAAAAATAATAATAATAATTACCACATTATCAGTATGACACATAACAGAGTCAGTTTAGCAATAAACCAATCTCATCTCAATAAAGTATTTTATTTTATTGTATTGTTCACATTTTTTATGATGTTTATTATATGTACTCTTGACGAAATAAAGTGCATTCTTGTTTATGGCAAAGACTCTTATCTAAGACCACCACAGCTTGAACAAACATCACTGGGAAATGATTTTCCCTGATTGCATTGCAATAAAAACAACACATTACAGGAGTCACTGAAATTGGGACAGGGCAAATTAAAAATTCTGACTGGAAAAATACTAGCTCATATTCTTGTTTTGTCTAACGGTTAATTCTGGCCTTGTAAACAAGCGTCAATGCAGGTGTCAATTTTATAAGTGTTATTTAATCTTCAAATCTGCTTGTAAACTGCATTCTTGTAAATTGTTAATTATCTTTAATAGGGTGGTTGACATTCAACAATAAAAATGTCTGAAATGAATGAAAAATCTTTGAGAAAAAAACATTACATACTGTACATGTTCTGTGCATACTATTGCCAACTAAGTGAAGTAGACTATATGATAATAGTTTTTTTACATACTGTATTTACCCCACTTTTGTCACGTATTTCTAGGCTAAGTTCAAATGGTCTCTAAGCTAAACTAACAACTGTAGTTGTTATGCAATTTAATGACAACTTTTCTGGTGAGCTTAATTTCTGCACAACATAATGTCTATATAAGATGCTCCTTGAATACAGAAACACATGATTTCACTCAATCTGATTTCGTTTTCATTGCTTGTCTGTTATACACTATTCCAGAAATAGACCTAGAGAGCAAAGAAGAAAATTTAATAGAGGGAACTGAAATTAGACAATTACCAGTGTGTCCAACAGCTATAATACTGCATCAGTGCGTTTACAAGACTGATTAATGATCACTGTGCTTTGTAGGAAGGAACACAATAAAGAATACAATTCACTAACATTTGTAATAATAAAAAGTCTGGTCTGTGGGATGATTCACATTGTTAAAGTAACTTAAGTTAAGGTGTCGCGCTCTGATTCTTGCTTCTACAATAACTTAGGTGTCTACAATAACTGTAGGTGTTATTTCTGAGTCTGAAATAATTTTGAGACAGAATGAGGTGAATGTTTTAAGGGTTCCTAAAACCACTGCTAATATTAAACATGCACAAACAATGGAATCATCACAACAAAACATTTACTTAACATCACAACGACTCGAAAGAGCACCCTGAATATTCCGCTCATGATTTTAGGTTAAGCTTTCTAATAAGATGTTTTCCGGGTCAAAGTCAAGAGCTCCCAGAAATTATGGTGTCATAGATGTCTGGGGAAACAAGGGCACCGAACTTGCCTCACTGGAAACAAAAGTCAAACACCAGCTATTTTTGCAGTCAGCATCTGAAATGTTCTCTTCACTCATAAAATATATAATCACGACAAATGTCCCAAGGCAAAAAAAAAAAAAAACATGAATAAAGCAACAAAGGCCTTAAAATATGATGACGCTGATTTTCTCTTCATATGTATATTAAGCTGCTGAATCAGTGGTTTAAATGAGACATATCATATCTTTTCTGCAGAAGCGATTTAAGACCTGCAGTAAACAGCAAAGGGCTAAAATCCAGAAACAAATCCCAAACAGACACAGAGCCAGTCGCCTTTGGGCTATAGAATGAGATGGTTTTTATTTACTGTAATCCCAAACACCTGTCTCCCTGCAGTACAATCACTTCCAATGAACTCCAGAGGGGCTGCAGATCACATACAGTCTTAACTGAACCTTTGATTATACCCCATATGGCTGGTTTACTTTTCTTTTAACTGCATTTCATCCCACTGCTGTCACTTCATATGTCCAAGTTCAGAGGAAGAAAATGTAATGGTACCAAAGAGGAATTTCTCACCCTTTTTCCAAGAAAGAAACTGTCAAGATGAAAGATTATGAATTAAGACAGATTAATGCGTCATTCTATTAAACAGATAAAGCAGGCATAAAGGTGACTGATACTATACTAGATATGACCTCAATGAAAATTAATCATCCTTATTCTTCAAGCCAGTTTGGCATCATGTAACTCAAGATAAATGAGTAGAGGGTTTAAGATTTATGATTGTTTTCCTCTTTTGGCAGTGAGATGGTAATTAATCACATTAAAGCAATTAAGAAGGTTGTCTCTGCACAACTGGCCTGATCTCAAATGTCCTTCAGATACACAGCTGTACTGAGGTTTGTGGAAAGGATTTGCCTGTCAATTCATTTTTATGACACAGCTGATCAAATTATCAGCACTAACACAAGACCTACAAAGTGAAGTGAAACAAAGGAGTGTACTGAAAGACGGTACTGGTTTGTTTTAAAACTGATCTTCTGGAAGCAGTGAACAACAACTACATATTGTGAACGCTTTCGGTTTGAATCTGCACTCAGTGACCTAGGGAATAAATAGAAGAAACATTCTGTCTGTATACTGTAATAAACATAAAACAACAAATGTAGCACACGAGAACAGCTTGTGCAGGTGTAAACCTCTTGCAACCCCTCAAAATTCAAGGACACACTATAGGTGGCCTGCTTTTTTTGGTATCCGGTGAAGGAACAGTCCAATTTGAACAAACATTTGGAAAACATGCATTATATAAACTTGCACACTGCATCACATTCACATCATGTCACTGATAAGAATGAGAACTGACCCTACCTCTCTCAGTGGTCACGACAGGAGGCTTTGAGGTGCTTTTCACTGTCCATGAACTGTTTGCAGTATCCAGAGCAGGTGGTGTTGGGGGTTTTGTGCCACTTAATGGAGAGGAAGAAGTAGGTTTTACTGTAATGTTTAGTGTTGTGGTAAATGTGGAGTTTTCTTTGACTTTACTGCGTTTGGAGGTAGCGTCCATTGTTTTGGTCAGAAGCGCAGCCGTGGTGGTCAACCAGATGGGCTGTAGTTGGTTAGTTTTACCAGTGGTCCTGTAGTCCCTGGATGTGATGGTCAGTGTGGGGGTGAAAGGTGAAAACCTGGAGTTCCTGTCGTCCTCCTGTAAGTGGTTTGGGATGGTGGTCGCCTCCAACGTCTCATCCAACACAGCACGCGGGAGTCTCGCGCCTGGCGACGCGTTCTCATCGCTCAACAAACCAGCTGTGTATCCAAACAACAATAACTCCAAAACTGAGAACAGTAACATAGTGTAACGCATACACGTCATTTTGTTCTTTAGCTCCCCATGTGAAACGTTTCGACTGTATCCTTCAGTACTACACAGACGTTTTTCTTACTACCGAATCCGTGTTTCAGCCAATTGTCTCCACTTGTCCAATCGCGCCGTGAAACTGCACGGTTCCACTTCAGCGGGACTGACAGCTGTAAACCCCGCCTACTACGGCCACGCCTCCGTCCAATCAGAGCGCAGGCTGCATGAAGATTAGCGTAACACTGCACCAATCATACGACCGCGAGGAGGAGCCTCAAAACTGACAACTCTATGACTTGTCTTGAAAAGTGACAAAAGAAAACAGGTAAAACGAAATTAAATACGGTAGATCTGCGTGATAATACCGAGATAAGAGGCTAGGCAGAGCCAGCAGTGAGAATGAAACATTGTCAAACATTCCACATAATATACCTGTACATACAACTGTCTATTGTTCTATACCTGTACATACAATTGTCGGTTTGTATATTTTTTATTCCTTATTTTACTTGTTCTATTTTTTTATTTTTTATTTATTTTTATTTTTTTATTATCTGTGTTTTTTGTTCTGTCACTGTCATTCTGTTACACTGTGGAAGCTTCTGTCACGAAAACAAATTCCTCGTATGTGTAAACATACCTGGCAATAAAGCTAATTCTGATTCTGATTCTGATTCAAAGAAAACTGACTGAATTTGAAACAACACACACACACACACACACGTCTGGTCAGCTACACACAAATAAATAAATAAATAAAAAACCTTTAAGAAAGCTATCAAATCAGCAGGGTTCATTCTACCTGTACGTAACTAGTGTTTTAACTTTGGTTAACACCACATTATGGAAAAATTGCATAATTTAATGGCGCTAAAATTAATGGATTCACTCTGTTAATGGAAAATTTGACGGAGAAACTCCAATCGCCTGAAGCAGGTTTAACAAACACGAGAAAGACGTCGTGCTTGTGCTGAATAAAAGTACAGAGTAATAGCGTCCCCTATTGGTGACGCACCATTAGTAAAGAACACGCCACGACTGTGCTGCTCTGAGCAAAATTAATTTGACTGGTATTTCAACAATACCTAAAATAACAATATAAAATGTAATAATTTATTTAATAATAATCAAAATATACAGATAACTAAAATATCCTAAACTAAATCAAATAAACTAATCTCTTACTTTTGTTTTAAAGCTTTTTACAGCCTTTTCTGGAGTTTGACAATCAAAAAGAATAAAATGGAATGAGAAAATACCTGTTTTTACTTCTGATACTCCAATTTAAAAAAAGTGCAATATCTTGTAGATAAGGAAAGAAGAATAATAATAATAAGGAATAAGGAAAGAATTACATCAAAATGTTACTTTAAAACACACATTAAAACACCTACACTGGGCAAACCACCACTGTGCGACTGAGGCTGATCGTTTGCATCTTTTATACATATATTCTGTATAACAATAGGCTACTGTATGCACACTACGTTGTTAAGCAATTTACTTGAGGACATTTGTCAGTGTGTGCACTGGAGAAGCGTGATGATATTGAACCCCTGAATGAAGAAATTTCACATCACTGCAGGCATTTTTGGAGCTCTCTAGATAGTTCAAAGGCTGGTTTGATGCCTGATGGTGGTCCATATAACTGTATAAAGCAATTGGAACTGAGGTGCTTCATAAATTTATAAGAATAATCCTGTGAACATACAGTAAAATGAACCCATACTGTGCTGGGTTTTAACTTTAGCAGTCATAGAGAGACAGAGAGAGAGGCTGTTTCAGGCATGTCACAGATGTGCGGTGGGCATTAAGCCTTTATTTGCAATTGGAGTTGTTACTCCGCCCTCACATGAATTTGTGTTACAGTCATAAGAGGAGGGGGGATGAAGACAACTCAAAGTGGGCGGTTTACTTTGAGAACTTTTTGGTTTAGAAGAGAGAGAGAAAGACAGACAGAGAAAGCTGAGGCGAGCTAGAAAGTCAGCACTCTATAAACATCTTACAGTGCTTACCAGGACATCTTACCAGTGAACAAGAACCTTGTGAAGACAGAGAAGAGGATAGGCCTATAACACATCTTTGTACTCTTTCCTTTCAAGGAGAAGGATGAAACCTCAAATAAAAAGAACTTTATCAAACTTCTTCTTTGAATATGAAACACCTCGAAAGGTTCTGGTCAGGAACAAAAGAGTTGCAGTCGTGTGCCGAATCATCCAAATGGGTGTTCTAGCCTACATAATTGGGTAAGAGATTTATTTTATCCTTAAAAATTCTGAAAAAGCGGATAAAAATCATTGAGCATGAGTAACTGAACAGAACATGCTTCAACAAAGGCAAAAAATGTACAGAATGCAAACAAACTAACAGCTCATGCCTTATATTGAATTGAAAAGTTAAGTGCTGTCATGATGTATCATTTAAGATAATGCACTGCTTAGTCTAACTAGCAGCACACCATCAAACTGTTATTGTTTCAGAAAAGACACATTTCTGAAGCTGAGAATTATTTTGTTTACTTGATTTGCTTGAAAGTATGCCCATATGTTTTTTTTTTTTTCATTGTGTCTGATTTAGATTTAATGGCTTATAGCATCAGTAATGTATCAGCAGCTCATCTCCTGTCATAGAGCTAACAGCTGACCCTCAGTATGTATTAGATAACTGGATGTACGTGGCGTCGGTGTACGAAACAATTCACTTATGTTCATGATATGAGTGTTGCAGTAAAATGACATGCTGTAGTCATTCATGGAGAAAAAGCAGACTTTGACAGATGTTAACTTTTACAACAGTCAAGTCCAGACAAACGCTGAGCATTTCCTCTTAAGTAATTCAAACCTGTATTGTGCAACCCAGTGAGCATCAGTTAACATGTGGGTGTCATTTGTGTGCTCTAAACAATACAATTTGCAAGTAACCAAATAAGTGCATTGTGCTTCCCTTCAAATCAATGACTACTGTGCAGTACATAAAGCCACTGAAGGAATAACTCAATTGGAAAATGCCTGTTATATAGTGATACTTAGCTGTCTCCTATTTACTGTGTATATCTACAATGTGTTATATCACTGTATTATACTATAATGTACAATAAACCTCCTTTAATGTCTGTGATCATAGAACAGCACAGGAGTTGTACTGCTCTCTCATCCCTCTTTGTTACTCCTTTTTGTTTATCAGTGAGACCACCCTTAATGAATCAAATACAGCTCTAGTCCAAATTTCAACAGGCTGACAGAGGTATTTGTTTGGGTATTCAAAACTAAAAAGCATTAAACACTATAAACCTGCATGTCGTGCAGCTAAAAGTGGATGGTGCTTCTGTTATCTGTCATGTGGAAGTTGTTTGTCTTTGTAAGTGAGGTGAGCTGAATGAAACGCAAATCGATCAAGTCGATAAACTATTGCAATAGCATTAGTTTTGGTCTGTGTGGAGCAGTATGTCATCTTTAGGTGTATAAGACGATAAGACTGAGAGTCATGCTTCAAAGGGAAGAATAACGTTTGTCGTGTCATGCAAGAGGGCATGAGGCCAAAATCTTATTGCTTCATCCTACTTTTACATGACACAAGACGGTTCAAGTACATATGAACACACACACACACACACATATTTTGAAACGCAAACTATAAAACATGCCTTATGTCATTTAAACGTTTTCGGTCACACTTTATTTTACGGTCCAATTCTCGCTATTAACAAACCATTAACTATGACTTTTGCCTCAATAAACTTCTAATTTGCTGTTCATTAATAGTTAGTAAGGTAGTTGTTAAGTTTAAGCATTGGGTAGGATTAGGGATGTAGAATATGGTCATGCAGAATATGTGCTTTTATATACTAATAAACGGCCAATTTTTTAATAATAGGCATGCTAAGCAACTACTTAATAGGGGGAATTGGCTCCTTTACTAAACTGTTACCACATTTTCCAACTGCTGTGCAAGCTTAATAGTGCAAATCATGAGGGCACAGTATACACTTTTTACTTGAATAAAATAATGCACTGATAAATATGTTTTTATTGTTATTGTCAATCAGTAACTAATAAAAATGAGACTAATAGTAGTTCAAAGGTATTAGGATCAAATGTAATTTAAACATTGAAACCCTACTTTCACTGACACCTCATGAATCCAAAGAAAGAAAGAATGGCTTTACAGAATCATTCACAATGTTTCTGAAAATAATTGTCAACACTGTCAACAACAGGAATATTTTAGTGGAAAATTAATGAGATTTTTCATATACCTGTGTGTAACCCTGTATCAAAGAATTAGGTCTTTGAAAATGAATTATATGCAGTAATTTGCAGGTTTTATTCATATCCATTATGTGAAAAGGGTACCTTTATTTATGGCTGCCATGAAATGTCATGTATGTGGATGACAATGATTTTAATAAGTAAAATCACAAAGACACTATTTATTAAGTAATTTGGTATTCAAACCATACACTATGAAATACAATAGATCTAATTTATGATTTAGGTAATAATTACACACAAAAAAGATCTCCAGACTGCAGCTTGATTAAACCAGATCAGGTCATGAATTGTTTTTTGCTTTTGTTAGGTGGGTGTTCATGTATGAGAGAGGCTACCATGCGATAGATATCGCCATAGGCTCCATCTTCACCAAGATGAAGGGAGTGTCCTTCACAAATATCAGCGGAAAGGAGAGGATATGGGATGCAGCTGATTTTGTTTTTCCTGAACAGGTGGGTTGTGTCTCCTAATTTTGGCCTCAGAACTGAAAACTTCAGAAGTCCTAATTTATATACATAGTTATCATTATTTTTTTTGTTTGTTTTGTTATTATTTCAAAAATGAAGAAATATATTTTTGAATGCAGATGTGGGACACTCACTGGGTAATTGTCCATCCAATAAATTTCAGTTTATGCTTTCTGATTTTAAACATACTTATATTGGTATAGGAGTCATTTTGGCTGTGAATTTGGCCTAATCACAGATAAATGTAATCATATTGTGTAAACATCTGCAGTCATGTGCGGGTTATTCTCACTCTGACTGAGAAACTACTGATATTGTCATGGCAAGTAAACACCTATATTGTGACGCTATTTAGAAGGCTAATGGAGAAATACTTGTTGATTATAAAGTTATTTCTTAACATAAATCATTGAAAATGTCTGCCATTATTACTTAATGACAACAGCCTGCAGCAGTTTAGGAATATGAACTTATTTCACAGAAAGCACCCAGTGCAATAAGAAACAGACAGACTGTTGACAGAAAAGTAAACACGTCATCATTCAGCAATCAAAGGAGTGGCTCCAGGAGCTTCTTTATAAAGTCAACAAATATTTTGTCCAAAAAGCAAACATCAAAATGTTCATCACGATAACAAATATCAGCGCTTATGCACACGCACACACACACACACACACACACACATTGGGTTTTCATGTTTTATGGTGACTTTCTATAGAACATTTTATTCACCAAAGAATCCTGAAAAAATGTCAGTTTCACATTTTCCAACTGCTGTGCAAGCTTAATAGTGCAAATCATGAGGGCACAGTATACACTTTTTACTTGAATAAAATAATGCACTGATAAATATGTTTTTATTGTTATTGTCAATCAGTAACTAATAAAAATGAGACTAATAGTAGTTCAAAGGTATTAGGATCAAATGTAATTTAAACATTGAAACCCTACTTTCACTGACACCTCATGAATCCAAAGAAAGAAAGAATGGCTTTACAGAATCATTCACAATGTTTCTGAAAATAATTGTCAACACTGTCAACAACAGGAATATTTTAGTGGAAAATTAATGAGATTTTTCATATACCTGTGTGTAACCCTGTATCAAAGAATTAGGTCTTTGAAAATGAATTATATGCAGTAATTTGCAGGTTTTATTCATATCCATTATGTGAAAAGGGTACCTTTATTTATGGCTGCCATGAAATGTCATGTATGTGGATGACAATGATTTTAATAAGTAAAATCACAAAGACACTATTTATTAAGTAATTTGGTATTCAAACCATACACTATGAAATACAATAGATCTAATTTATGATTTAGGTAATAATTACACACAAAAAAGATCTCCAGACTGCAGCTTGATTAAACCAGATCAGGTCATGAATTGTTTTTTGCTTTTGTTAGGTGGGTGTTCATGTATGAGAGAGGCTACCATGCGATAGATATCGCCATAGGCTCCATCTTCACCAAGATGAAGGGAGTGTCCTTCACAAATATCAGCGGAAAGGAGAGGATATGGGATGCAGCTGATTTTGTTTTTCCTGAACAGGTGGGTTGTGTCTCCTAATTTTGGCCTCAGAACTGAAAACTTCAGAAGTCCTAATTTATATACATAGTTATCATTATTTTTTTTGTTTGTTTTGTTATTATTTCAAAAATGAAGAAATATATTTTTGAATGCAGATGTGGGACACTCACTGGGTAATTGTCCATCCAATAAATTTCAGTTTATGCTTTCTGATTTTAAACATACTTATATTGGTATAGGAGTCATTTTGGCTGTGAATTTGGCCTAATCACAGATAAATGTAATCATATTGTGTAAACATCTGCAGTCATGTGCGGGTTATTCTCACTCTGACTGAGAAACTACTGATATTGTCATGGCAATATATTGTGAATATTGTGACGCTATTTAGAAGGCTAATGGAGAAATACTTGTTGATTATAAAGTTATTTCATCATTGAAATCATTGAAAATGTCTGCCATTATTACTTAATGACAACAGCCTGCAGCAGTTTAGGAATATGAACTTATTTCACAGAAAGCACCCAGTGCAATAAGAAACAGACAGACTGTTGACAGAAAAGTAAACACGTCATCATTCAGCAATCAAAGGAGTGGCTCCAGGAGCTTCTTTATAAAGTCAACAAATATTTTGTCCAAAAAGCAAACATCAAAATGTTCATCACGATAACAAATATCAGCGCTTATGCACACGCACACACACACACACACACACACACATTGGGTTTTCATGTTTTATGGTGACTTTCTATAGAACATTTTATTCACCAAAGAATCCTGAAAAAATGTCAGTTTCCATAGAATTAAAAAAAAAAAAATAAGCACAACTTTTTAACATTGATAATCAGCATATTAGAATGACAGGAAACTATTCAACAATTTTAAAAAAATCACTGGTTTTCATGAGTACAGGTTGCTGTCACTAATAGCTAACAGTGCTAGCAGAGCAGAGACACGAGAGATGGAATGACACTTAGACTATTTAAGGCTGAGTTTAAACCTTAGATTCAGCCTTAAACACAGCTGTGTCTCAGATGCAAGCTGAAAATATAGCCATGCTTATCTTCAAACAGTGTAAATCAACCATTTAATACTGAATCATATGTACAGTGGGTGGCTTTTTGGTGGTCTGTTTTGGGTTTAGGTTTTGGTTTCAAAAAAGGACATTCATCATGTCATGCAGGGGTGTCAAAAACAGTAGCCTGAAATCAAGCAAGCACAGTCAGCTTCAAACACTCCACTTCTTATGCAACCACTTTATCACCAAATAGACAAAGGATGTACTATAAATTTAACATGGCACTCTGGCTCTGTTTTAAGCTTAGATATTGAAACTACATATGGTCATGTGGAACCCTTCAAGTCCTTTATGTTCCATTTTCCAGGGTGACTCATCTTTTGTTGTGATGACGAACTACATTGCTACTGTGGGACAGAAACAGGACAAATGTCCTGAGGTAGGTAAATATCTTTTTCTTATTGTCTCATCACTATCGGCTTTCATCATCGTGACTGTCATAATTGTTTTTTTCTCTCTAAGATCTCTGTATGAGTCATATCCTGACCATCTTTCCCCCCCAGTTAAAATACAGTTTCTCAGAAATAAGGGTCGATGGCCGCCATGAAACTTTTTTTTTTTTGAGGGGCACCAGTCCTGGCTCAAGACCAAACTAAAACTTAACTGAGAGTTGCTGAGGCTTCTGTCAGTGATCATACCACTTTTACCTTTTTTTTCTTTGTCTGAGTAAAGCCATGTGCGTCACCGAGTGGCAGTTTGTCTTTGGTGTTGCTAGATGAAGCATAAATTCAGCCAGTTTGTTTTAAGACAGGCGTCACACGCCTAGGGTTACAAACTACTGTACGTATTATTCAAGATCATACCATATAATAAGGAATTGTCACATTTTTAAAAGAACAGAGTTCTATTCCACATTAAATCCATTTGGATTTGAAAACACTTTGCTTTTGAATCAGTTAAACTTGTGAATCAGATTGTCACTCGATTTACTGCATTGCTCATTAAAATGTTTAAAATACAAAATATCCTATAAAGAAACAGAAAGTGTAACTTATTTCCCCAGGTGACCTTGGCAAATTCATATAACCTGTGTTTGGTGATACAATCTGTTTGTTCTTTCCAGCAAAGTAACATGGCTAGACTTCATGTACCATCTCTTCATTCATTTACCTGCTCTTGGTTTACCTCAGTCTTATTTGTCTTTCACTTGACTCTCTATTTGACTTTATTGCATTAGCTACAAAGCTTTGCTTAAACAAATGAGTTTTAAGAATTGGGTTTTGTGGTTATTCTGTCTCTTCTGTGCATCCTGTCTCATTTGGATCTGGCATTTGCATATTTTCAACAAGCCAACTGGGGCTTAATTAAACACTAATATCCATTAAAGTGCTATTCCTTTCCTGTGTGTATTTCAGCTGCCAGATGGGAAGAACAAGAACAAGTGTATGAGTGACGAGAACTGTGATGAGGGCAAATACAAACGTACGGGAAATGGTAAAGTTTTAACCATTACATTTTTCCGACAGAAGGCACCGGCGCAGCAGACTAACTTCACATCACTAGCAGCCGGGGGAAGAGGAACTCACTTTTTTTGTCACTTGTTTTTCATGGGCACTGTATAATCCCTTTGACCTTCATTGGTAACTAAATCAGTGCACCAGTGGTCTAAGATATGTACCGCAGAATTCAAATGATCATGGGGTAAGAAAATTGGTGCACTTGCACGTAAGCATTTGGTTTCAAACTCTACTCAGAATCAAAGGGGGCCTAATGAACTCTCACTCTCCTAACTGACAAACCTGCACATCATCCATGCTGCCATCTCCGTAAGTCACTAACATTCATGACTAACATGCTTTGCTCTCATGCTCTAAGGCTTTTTCTCTGAGCTTTCCACATCTTTGATGAATTTTACCCCATGCTCACTGATGTCTGTAATTCCCAGAGTTCCACAGGGCTCTCATCCAGATTCAGATTACTTGGCGTGACTAGCAGTTTCTATAACAGGAACAACGCACAATTATTCCACTGCTACCCAAACATAAATAAGTTGAAGTCATTTGTTAAATAAATCTTGCTTTTTTGATATCATTAGGATTGGCAGAGCTTAGTAGTAGTATGGGAACACCAATGGCTTATAAACACTAAACAAAAAGCTGATTAAAAATAATACAATCAAACCCACATTATAGACTGAGTGATATCATGAGCTCAGTGTGGGTCACAAATACTCAAATATTGACTCAGTTTCACGTGCAGCGTAGCAGAACGATTTACTCCAGGAATACAGATGTAAGTAAACAGCACTATCTCACATTGAAGTAATTCAAAGTACCTTGACTTCCAGTTATGGGCAATTGGCACAAACTTCATTCAATACATATTTTCCTTAATCGTGTTACAATACTGACTCTGTGAACTCAGGGTAAAATTCACAGATGTCTTCCTTGACAACACACAACCTTCTGGTTGTTTACGCCATGCTTCAGACCGCATATCATTTCATGCTTATTGTATCATGTCTCTGATATATGTATGATGTTCTGTGACACAAGGGATGTGTTATATGTTATGGTTACACTAAGTGTATTTTAATGGTTGTACAAAAGTTTGTCAATACTATACTAACCACCAAAGCAAGTTCAGTCTGTGAATGTAAATGTTCCTGGCAATGTTAAAAAGAGTCAGACTGAAATTTCAAACATATGACCAAATGCAATCTGATGAAAGCATTCCTAAATAACTGGACTGATAGAATCATCCTTCATGCTCATTAATTCAGAGAAAAGTTCATTTAGTAACATCAAAGTCATGGCAGCTCCTCACTGAAATCTCACAGTCAGTTACTAATAGGAATAGATGTGTATCAACCGTACAAATTTATTTGATTTTATCTTAGTGCTTTTCACACGGTCTGACAATCTTCTACCCGGTATTGTACCAACCAATTTTATACTTTAAATATGAAAATATGAACATATTTAAAATATTTTAATACCAGATTTGATTCCCTTTTCACTACCTCAAGTGTGCTGAGAGTAATTCGCAAGTATGACTTTGTTTATGCATATGTGTGTGTGTGTTTGTGCATATACAGTGGGTATCAAAAGTCTAAATCCATATTGAAAATGTGGGATTCAAAATGTTTTTAAACCTGGAGAACCTGTATATATATATGTAATGTAGGGGTAAATGTAAATGGGTTATCAATTAGATAAAAATGTGAAATCTAAGCATTTTCAAAAGGGACATCAGACTTTTGGATCCTACGATATACCCTGCCATCTCTTTTTGGGGCACATGACTGTGTTTTGTTTTAGTCTGTTCTGATCAACACCAAAGCTTTTATACTGTTGTTCCATTACGGCATTACTGTCTCTCTCAGGGCACATGACGGGCAGGTGTATAAGCAATACCAGTACTTGTGAAATCTACTCCTGGTGTCCAGTTGAAGATGATCGTCAAATACCAGAGTATGAATGCTTATTTTATTATTGTTGTTGATGAATTGAATCAATCACATGGGGTGTCTAACAGTTATTGTGGCATGCCTGGACTACAATTATTGTCTTTTTTTTTTAATGTGGCATCTTTCATTTATAAGCCCACCATAATGAAAGAAAAGATACGGTTTAATAAAAAGCAAAGACTCACCATTCCTGAATGTCTTGAACTTTATGTCTGTGTAGAAATCTTGGAAACTAAAAAAGAGAATCAAATTACACTTGACAGTCGCCTTAAACATAAAAGTCTGTTTATACCTGGAACATGTGACAGATTGTATTTAAATTTGTTTTGAATCAGCCTACAGTCTTGGTCTGATCCATTTAACTTTATTATGTTTCTCTGTAGCCCTCCAATCCTGCTGACAGCAGAAAACTACACACTGTTCATCAAAAACTCCATTACCTTTCGCCAGTTTAATGTAGTAAGGTAAAATTCTATATTTTTCAAAAGTTCCTTGTGGTACTGTACTGTATATTGGCAAAGCCTAACAAGTAAATTCAGAGGAAGGAGAATGAAATAAAAAGGACCTATTTTGAATGTGTTCATATAAGCCAGGGGTTTCTTGTGGTACTAAAGAATGTCTGCAATTTTTTTGTGAAAAAAAAGAAAATACACGTTAAACAACTTAGGCTAAACCAAAGCTAAAGTTAACTTTTTTTTATAGTCTCTCTCCCATCAATAATCATTTATATGTCATAACATACTGTCAGGGCCGTTTCTAGCCAATTTGACGCCCTAGGCGAAATCTTTATTTACTGTACCAATATTTTAAATTGGCCTTTGAACTTAGCTTTTAATGCATGGCAAAAAAAAAGTGTTACCTTGCCAAAGCACTGACAGAGCCCCACTGATCTAATGGCGTTGTTGAGCGCTCCAAATGCAAACAAAAATGCAGCACTCTGATCTAGTGGCATACAGGCATCGTCAGATTGACAGTACTCTAGCCTAATAATGTTGGGGGATCCAGTGGGGGCGGCAGTCATATTTCAGGGTGACCGTGCCACTCTTTATCACAACCCTGCTAAAAGTGCCAGTACGTGCGCTAATTGGCGCCCCTTCAGCTGGTGGCGCCCTAGGCGACCGCCTAGCTCGCCTATGCCTAGAAACGTCCCTGCATACTGTAATAACGTTTGTACAGTACAGTATGGTACTTAACACGTTATTGAAGGCCAGGCTTAAAATGCAAGCTTTATCCGCTTTGTCTAAAAGATGAAAGTTCTCCTCACTTTTTTCTCTCTAGGAGTAACTTGGTGGAGAGTGTGAATCAGAGTTACATCAATACGTGTTTGTATCATCCCAAGACTGATCCACTGTGTCCCATCTTCAGACTGGGAGACATCGTTGAGCGCTCTGGGTTCAATTTCTCAGAGATAGCTCGTGTGGTAGGTTTTTGTCATGAATGATTGTAAATACACACACCCACTAACACTCACACTCCTAGTGATACTTGTTCTTTAAACATACATTCAGACAGTATACTTACATTCAAAACATTCTAGTATGTCCAGTAATCGGGATGATTTCCAAGACTGATGTACTGAATTGAATAGTTTACAAACTTAATAGCTGTTGAATCATGATGTCGATTTGTAGGCTTCGCTCTGGGTTTCCAAGGGAATTTATGAATAGCAGTAAAATAAGTCTGTGGTCAACATCACTTGAGGAGACTTTCACATTTTGTTCTATAAATGTGATTTCATCATACAATGTTTATAGCTTTACATCTTGCTATTGTGACTTTATTCCTCATAAATTCCAACAATTGTGACTTCTCACTATAGTAATCTTACATCTTTTGTGACTTTAAACTGAATAACTGTAACCTTTTATCTCACAATGTGAGTTTCTTATTTGAAGCGTTATCCCAAAATTGTAGTGAATGATTAAAATCCGGAGAAGATCACAGAAACATGGGATGATAATCTACATGTTATTTCTTATGTGATGTGTTAGGGTGGTGCTATAGGAGTTCTCATTGACTGGGACTGCAATCTGGACCTCAGTATCAGACACTGCAAACCAAAGTATGAATTCTATGGTCTTTATGGAACAGCGAAAAATGACAAAGAAGAGAAACCATCATTGGGATACAATTTTAGGTGGGTAAGAAAGTTTAACCTATTTCCCTTGTGAAGACAACTTTTAATTAGACTGCTCAGTGGTGAGTGGTGCTTTACTGTATTATTTCTGAGTCTGTGAGCTTTGTTGGTTTCTGTAAAAGAATGAATTACATTTTTTTTTTTTTAAGAATATATTAAGTGGAACCGCTACTAGAATTATTATGTGATACTGACTGTTTCAGATATGCTAAATATTATGTGGAGAATGGGGTGGAGAAGAGAACACTAATGAAGGTGTTTGGTGTACGGATAGACATCATTGTTCATGGACGGGTAAGCTTATTTTTTATGGATCATTCACAAAGAAATTATGGAACATGCAAATTTCCATTTGTTTACAACTGTTCCTTGCAGGCAGGAAAATTTGATATCATCCCAACGTTGACGGCTATAGGCTCAGGAGTGGGAATCTTCGGAGTGGTGAGTGTCAGAGAATAAACTTATATTTATATAAAGAGATACCTGGTATCATTTCCTCAATTACTTTTTACTACAGACTCCATATTTTGTATTCTTCTGTCATGTAGGAGATTATACCAGGTGTAAAAATCTTTTGTGTTGTACCATCCATGTAAAAATTAAAAGATGTGTTAATGTAAATAAATAAAGTAATAGACTTAAGATTTTTTAATGCTTTTGAAAGAGTTATCTTATGTTCAACAAGGCTGCAATTATTTAATCTGAAATACAGTAGAAGCAGTAATATGTAATGATCTAGTATAGATCAGTGATTTTAATATATATCTTTATAATTTAATAATCTAATATATAATTATAATCTAATATAATTGTATAATCTATTTAATATATATTTAATATTATTAATGTTAAAAAAAACATTTGTGCTGCTTAATATTTTTGTGGAAATACATTGTAAGGATTATTTGAGGAATATAACAAACATTTATTTGAAATGAAATCTTTGTAAAAAACAAAAAAAACAACAACACTTTTCATCAAATGAATGTATCCTCGCATTAGTATGGAAAAAATCATACTAAACCTCAAAAATTTGAATGCTAGTGTATCTGTATGTCAAAGCAGCACTATGTAACTTTTGGCGCACTTTAGCGGTTAATAAATAGAACTGCACACATCCCGCGGAAGAACATTCCAACCGGAGCTACTTCTCTAAGTTTAAGTCAATGGCGATTCACGCAGGTATGTGTTACTCCGCAGCGGTGACGACCCGACCAGGCTACAATAGTCCAAATATAAGTACTTATTATAAGTGTACCGTAGTGATTCGGAATAAGACAAAAACGCGGTTTGGAAGATGAATTTATGATGTACTCGCTCATTATATACATTTTGCAAATTTTAAACACAGAAAAAGTTACATAGTGCTGCTTTAATGACTCAATGACTGCGTTGATGACTAATTTGAAACTGAAACAAGAACAGATGCATCAAATTAGATATATTTCAAGCTTACCTTTCTATACACTTAGCTGTTTTGTGCTCAAAATATCCCCTAAGTGCTTTTTATCTTATTGAAATGAACTAACATCTACTCTCATTTGTTAAGGCAACCGTTGTGTGCGATTTGCTCCTCCTATATTTTGTTCCAGAGAGAGATTTCTACAAAAACATGAAATTCAAGCATACAGAAATCCCGGAAGAGGTGAGTGTTTTTATTTTTTTTAAATAAATAAAAGGTATTAAATATTTCATTTGAGTCACACTTGCCTTTGTGATCGCTGGTGTGTCTCTGAGAGCTCTGTGGATAGCCAATGCTAGTTCACTACCGAAACACAAGATGGCAGCAGAGATACATAGTTAGTTAGCTGCCACGCAAATCTGTTACTTGAGCAGATGCAATGCCGTTTCCAAACATTTACATCAAGCTACATTCCCGTAGTAGTGTCATTGTGGACATTAAATTCAGGATTTAAATATAATTCAAATGTCCAAAGCACTTCTGAGGGTGTGTGTGTGTGAGACGAAAAGTATAACCACAGGCGTCAGCAACTATCTTACTTTTCTATCTGTATGCATGTGGGCAGACTATTGCATTCAAGTCCATGCTACACCACGGTTTCCTGTAGACATCTCTGCAGTGATATAGTTACCCTAGCAACACAGCGCATTGACCATACTTGTATCTTATAAAGAAAGGAAAATGAGGGCACATCTTAACCTCCAGTACTCCCACTCTAGCAGCTTTCTGATGAAGAAAAACATTGGGGTTGATAGGAGCATGGGAAATTATCTCAGATATGTATTTGCCCTTCCACAGAAACCAGCCTTGCCCCAGTCACAGACAGAAAAAGATCTACCAAAGGTAACGTACCATTCAAATCTTTGCAGCCGCAGATCCCTGTAGAATTATAGCATATCTCTATAAACAACTTTTCAATTTTAGTTGTGGTCACAGTAATTCAGATCTTTGCTGTACACAGGAGTGAAGTCAGGACGGCTGCCATGACGACTGACTATTGCACTGAAGACAGAGAGAGGAAAAAAACACCTCAACACTGGAGATTAAGCAAGACGGCTGGGAGACTTGACACACAGAACTGTCAGACATCACTTTTCCTTTCTAAATCACAATTCCTTCCCAAACTACTGAGGAAAGATATTAAATCACTGTTATGATTTAAGACTCAACTAATACCCACTGGATGTGTTCATATTGAGAGGCTCAGGACTGTAAAGGTACACAATTCTTTGAGGCTTTTGAGGTCTTTACAAGGTTCCCAAAGTTTTTGGCAATTACCATGTAATGTCTGGATGTGTCACTCTGGATACGGTATCCTGTATACTTTAAAATAGCTATTTTTTACTAATAGGTGTTTTGTATAGGTTTTTGTTGTTGTTTTTGTAGCAAGTCAAACTGTGAGCCTCTAATTTTTGTGTGAAATAAACTTTACATGGTCAGTGAAAGGTATGAGGTTGAAACTAACCAGCTCTTAAAGACTGGTGAGTGATTTAGGCCTTTAGTTTTTGTTTTAGCTCGTTTACAAAACACTCAGCCAAGAAACATAGGATGCTCTATGTCAAAAGTCTGGTATTTTATTATTAGTACACAGCCTTCCGGACTGCTTGATTTTAATTGGTCAAATGCAGCATTTAATGGTATAAAATTATGACTACCGCTCATCCAGGAACTCTTAGCTGTGCTTGTGCTCTCTCTGTAAAAGTAATTGTTAATCAAATCAATAGTCCATACCCATATATTTATTTGTTTTAAAAGTAGTCGTGTAGTCATTGTACAAGAAAGAATTATCAGGTATTTCTGGACACTCATGCAGTCTTTCTTCCCACCTAACAAAATAGTTTGGTCTCACTTTAGTTTGGGGACCAATTCTCACAATTAATAAACTCTTAATTTGCTGCTTATTTATAGTTAGTAGGGTAATTGTTAAGTTTAGGTATGGAGTAGGATTATGGGATCTAAAATATAGAGAATATGCAGAATAAGGCATTTATTTATTGCTTTATAAGTACTAAAGAACAATTAATATGTTAGCAATACGCATGCTAATATGCAACTGGTTAATAGTGAGAATTGTTACCAATAATTGAAACTCGCATTAAAAAAAAAAACCCTTTCAGGGTAATACAAAACCTCTCTGCTTTGCACTGGCATCTTGATAATTCTGTCTGGGGTTTTTTGCAACAATGACTTGCTTTTATTTGTTGGAATTTACCTCAATTTGAGTTTTGAGGTTTTTTTTCTTTTATTAAATGATTTACAATCTTGAAATCAGACAGCACCATGAAGGATTGTTTGGTTTTATTGTGTACAAAATACTATTTTAGCAACTGAGTAGCTACTGTTATATGTATTATTATTAGGTCAATTTCATTGATTGATTCCAAGTTCATTTTTATCATGCAAAATTGAAAATACAATTCTAAATGACAAACATAAAGAAGAAACCTGAATCACCTGTGATATCTTTATTGTCTTTGATTATGTCTATGTGTACAAAAAGCATGCAAAAATAGCATCTTTATGTGCTTTGGTACATATTTACAAAGTAAGAGTTGCATTCAGTGCTTTCTCAGGACATGCTCTTTTTTGTCTGTTTTCTTTGAATTTTTTAAACAGTTACATTCAGATCAATGCAGCAGAATACAGACGTCTATAAATAACCAGCAAAATCAGGCACTCTGACACAAATAACTGGGCAGTTCAAACTGTAGGTATGTGAGTGAGACAGTGTTCTACGATTTATATACAATTCTGATATACTTTTAAATCAAGAAAGGGAAATTAAAAAAAGCATAACGCTTTGATAGTAAGAATGTTTTGCAGCTACAAAGTGCCTCAAAATGGCCACATTTCTCTCCCCTCCTTTAAATAAGTGAAACCTTTGTAAATGTGGGTAGACAAATGATCAAACCTCATCTATTGCACATGAGCCGAAACCTGGAAAAGAAAATAAAGCCTTCACACTTGAGTTGATTGCTCAGACAGAGGTATGGCATATTGGCTGCTGCATATGTTTAGCTTATACAAAAGTCCAACAGGAAACAATTTAAAGGGGTTTAAACATTAGTTGTTTTGTCTCACATAGATATCAAAAGGAATAACAAACCTAGAGAGAAGTCTGTAAAAGGTTATAAGTTAAGGGACATGCCGTACGTCAAGACACTAACAGGTGCATAGCATACATCAAGAAGTAACTGACAAGACTACTGTACATTTGAGACAGAATGGACAAATGAGTTTGCACACTAACTCATATAAGAGAATAAGGGGGATTGTTCAAAACCATTTGATGAATTTCTACACATAAACACCTTAGAGCTCCTGAACATAGAATAAGCTATTCCATTCTCTCTGTATTCCCCGAACAGCAGTGTCCAGACCCTGAGTACCACATACAGAAATCTCAATACACGACAGAAACAAGACTCCATTTAATCAAATACTCCATACAAACAGACCCAAAAAAACACTAGTCGTTTGGCACTGAAAATGGTTTTCCTGTGTAATTCAGTTTATGGGCAAAGAGTGTGTGCCTAAAAGGGGGTCATCGAGAGAAAGAGAGATGGGGAAGGGAGAGAAGATGGGAAGAATGTGTAGGAGTCAGAAAAATGGACCACCATCTGCTCAGGATATTAGTGAGAATATAATGAAAGTGGTTCACTGCGGTTTATCAATCCGTCTTCATATAAGCAATAATGAGTCGTCTTAAATGAGTGACATCGGTTAAAGGGCTCCTCTAAGCATTCGCTGCTTACGTAATCAGTTAACTGGAAATAATTGGCAGCTGACCTGATTTGAGTCCAGTTTTATTCTTGTAAAATGAATTAAAGGGGCAGTTCACCCTGAAATAGTCAAAGCTGCTCATTTCTATACAATGAAAGGGGAATGGTTGGTGACCCAACCAATTGCATTACATGAGCAGCTTGGACATTCGGCTGAATATCTCCTTTCGTGTTTCACGCAAAAAAAGTTTGGAATGATATGAGGGTAAAGGCCTGTTCACATAAAGACAAATATTTGGTATGATAAACATTAATTTAAATGTATTTGATTTAATGCATCTGTTCAGTCCGACACAATCATTTGCATACCATTAATTTGCATACCAACTTTTTTTTTTTTATTTATGAAGAGGTGTTGTAATCTCTCTTCCATTGCACTGAGAAGAAAACTGGAAAACCAATAATATTTGCGTTTTTGATCACATGCCATGAGCCACTGCTGTTACATAAAACAATGACTTGGTGGTGCGCACGAACAGACTATTTTGCTAAGCAAATGTGAATAACAGACAAAGAATCCAGTGTTGTTTGATAATCACAATAGTAAACACAAAAATCGTAATGGCTGTTCGAAAACATAAATATGGTTTGACTTCCTTTTTCTCCATGACAACTGGGCATCAGAAACAGAACACTGCACAGCACTTAGAATACCAGGGTTTCCTGGGTACCTGCTTTTGAACAGAGCCACCGACTTAATAGAGTGAATTTTGTCATTTTTATTCAGCCTGTCAGACATTTTTAAGCATTGGTCTGAATAGGCAAGTATTTGCTATTAATGCTATTTAATTTCTGGGTGAACTGTCCTTTTAAAATTGAAACACGCACAGTGAGAATTTCATAATGATAAAAATCTAATTAATATGAGTGCTCTGCTCTGGTAATTAAACATCTCGATCGTCAATGTCCCTTTACAATGACTGTCCACTCAGACTCTCTTTGTACTTTCAATACGTGATTCGAAAACAGGGGATGATGGGTTCGCCTGGCAGATGATCCGATGTAAACAAGGGCGTATTGTTTTGGACGGAGTTAATACAGGCCGAGAGGGACCGTGATGACATTGAATGGCAGTTCACTTTCGTTGCACTGCTAAACACCATATTCAGATCCTTCCCTCAATTGGCTTGTCTGTTTTGAGTGAAAGTGACTCCCTCTCTTTCCACATCAGCGCACACTCTCGCCTCGGTGGCATGTTTGCGTGTGTGTTCGAGGGCCCGTTAGCACTGCTGACTGACAAATAGGCCTTTTGGAATGTGAAGACTCGGTAAACAATGACACATTCTGTTCCTGCAGAGAGACAAAGCGCTGCAACACGAGAGCCCTGCATCCGGTGTGATCCGTATGCGGCATTTGCGACATTCACAAACATGGAAAATAAGCCCTGTTCTAGATAATGGTTATACCGAGCGCTCAAACACGCTGTATGAGAAAGCCCTGTTTTCTAGAATTGATTGAATGTGAAGACAAGAGCCTCTTTTAGTGTCTAGTAGTTACATAAGCCCCTTTGTTTCACAGTACGACACTGTGTGTGTTTATATATCGTATCTGAATGAAATGAGAAAGTTTTATGGTATGAAAAAAATGGAAAGCAACAGAGATATGGAACCACCATTATATGGAGAAGGCCATATTTCAGGCATGCTATGATGGATAGAGTTAAGAATTGCACATTAACATATACAAAAAAGGCAAGACGCCATTGCTATTATTTTCTACACATTTACAGAGGTTATGATGGCAGCACACTGCATCAACAGCTTACCAAACTAATAGCATCTTTTGTCCATGCTATAGTCTTATGCACTAGAACGCTTGTGGCATAGTCTGTCTTTCACACAAACCTGGCCTAATATAGATTCCATACAAAATCTACTAGTCTAGACAGGATGAGAGGACCAGGATGGAAAGATCCAAATGGTATCAAGGAGAAAGAATAGTTTTCCGCCAAATTATCAAGGCAAGGTTTCATGAGAACCATAGGCAGGAAAAGTGATTCTTGTGCAAGACTGACAAAGATGAAAAGCCTGAAGGATGACTAGCAATAGCAGAATCCAGTTCAATGTCAAGTTAAGCCTCAAGTCGGTGGAAACAGAGTGTAGTGGAGCAGTTTGGGTCATGATCATCTTCTGCTCGAAGGAATGGAAGGACAATGAGGAGCTCTTCAGGATCTATGAAGACACTCAAGAAGTGGGTGGTTCGTCCTCATGTAAGTCCTCGAGCTCAACTTCTCTACCAGCCTCTCCACTGCTCCCTTTTCTGAGAGAGAAAGAAAAACAGAGAGAGAAATTTTGAATCAATGCCTTTCTATATGATCCCTGCTTTGATCCAGTAGTTGATCTTGAAAGGCAAGCTTTTGTAACAGCAGTGTCCAATCTTGCTCCTGAACAGAGATATGGAACCACCATTATATGGAGAAGGCCATATTTCAGGCATGCTATGATGGATAGGGTTAAGAATTGCACATTAACATATACAAAAAAGGCAAGACGCCATTGCTATTATTTTCTACACATGTACAGAGGTTATGATGGCAGCACACTGCATCAACAGCTGACCAAGTTAATAGCATCTTTTGTCCATGCTGTAGTCTTATGCACTAGAACGCTTGTGGCATAGTCTGTCTTTCACACAAACCTGGCCTAATATAGATTCCATACAAAATCTACTAGTCTAGACAGGATGAGAGGACCAGGATGGAAAGATCCAAATGGTATCAAGGAGAAAGAATAGTTTTCCGCCAAATTATCAAGGCAAGGTTTCATGAGAACCATAGGCAGGAAAAGTGATTCTTGTGCAAGACTGACAAAGATGAAAAGCCTGAAGGATGACTAGCAATAGCAGAATCCAGTTCAATGTCAAGTTAAGCCTCAAGTCGGTGGAAACAGAGTGTAGTGGAGCAGTTTGGGTCATGATCATCTTCTGCTCGAAGGAATGGAAGGACAATGAGGAGCTCTTCAGGATCTATGAAGACACTCAAGAGGTGGGTGGTTCGTCCTCATGTAAGTCCTCGAGCTCAACTTCTCTACCAGCCTCTCCACTGCTCCCTTTTCTGAGAGAGAAAGAAAAACAGAGAGAGAAATTTTGAATCAATGCCTTTCTATATGATCCCTGCTTTGATCCAGTAGTTGATCTTGAAAGGCAAGCTTTTGTAACAGCAGTGTCCAATCTTGCTCCTGGAGGGCCACTGTCCTGCAGAGTTTAGCTGCAATCCCAGTAAAACAACTGAACCAAGGTAATCAAGCTCTTCAGGATTATTGGAATCTTTTAGGCAGGTACATTGGTACAAGATGGAGCCAAATTCTGCAGGATGTTGTCCCTCCAGGACCAGGATTGTACACCTATTAAGTTTGGTCATGCCAATGAAGTAGTTTTAAATGAAACTGAAATGAAATTGACAGAGAGAGGCTGCAAACTCAAGATGTAAGGCAACCAGCAGCAGTTTGTCTCACTTTTTATTTACTTTATGGCAAATAAATCTGAAATCAATGATAACACAATATTAAATAATAATTAAAAACTGCACTGTGAATGGTTCCATAGAAAAAAGGAGGAAATTAGCAGAAAATATATGAATTCTTTGTGATTTTGTCTAGGTATAGTTTTTTTTTTTTCAAAGACATTGCATCTGACAATATCCCATTTAGTTGCTATCAAGTAACTTGAGGGAAAAAAAAATATTTTTTTATATCTTGATAGCTTAGAATATTTTTGAAATCTTGTAAGCTTCAAACCAGCTACTTATATATGACAAAGTATAGTTTAGGTGAATAGTTAAAAATAGTTGAATATGAAGAAATTAATGCTTTTATTCTGCAAGGACACATTAAATTGATCAAAAGTGCCAGTAAAGACTTTTGCATTGTTAAAAAATAATTCAATTAAAGGTTGTTTTTAAGGATCTATTCTGAAAAAATTACCATGGTTTTCACAAAAATATTAAGCACTGTGTTTTTTGAGCACCAAATCAGCATATTAGAATGATTTCCAAAGGATCATGTGACACTGAAGACTGGTCTACCTTCATAGCATAAATCATGCACAAAAAAACTATGCACTACGCATTTAATACAATGTGCATTATATTAAACAGGTGTGAAGCATTTGTAGGAAGACAGTCTGTGGTGACTTGAAACTATCCAGTATTAAATTGAAAACTAGAAATTTTCTTTGAGCACACTGACGAACAATCTTAGAGGAAACACATGAACATGGGAAGGTTCGCTGCAAAAGACACAACTGCACATAGAGGTCTCATAACGTTCATAGTGGGATTGAATGAAGGACCATGGCATGAGGTGTTTCACATGGTTAGACTCTTCTATCACCAAATACTTTTACTGTCATGAAGCAAGAGAAATGCCACACAAGGACAGGATGGAGGCTGAAATGACTCATACTTTCACTGACCCGTGGGAATGCATGGAGAAGGGCAGGGAATCTGACACAGGGCTTGAGTGACAAATGACAATGACCACCTGTCACAATGAGTTACCTTAACGAGGGCTGGAGTTTAAAAGAGGGCCGGAACGGCCAAGAGTCCCTGGAGCAGAGAGAGACAGAGTGGAGGAAAGGGAGGACAGTGTCAGCGGTTTCATGTGAAGTACAGCGGCAGGAACCAGGTCATTATAGAGGCTCCTGTAAGTTATTGCTGGTCAAAATGCCAGTTACATTAATAGGGAAAAGTTTACTGCATTTAAATCATGTTCTGCAATAAAAATCAGTTTATGAAAATGGTACTCCTCAGATAATCGTATAAAACTGCAGTCAGAGATAGTTGATTTGCATATACTTCTAGCTTAGTGCTGTCAGAGACAGATAGCGTTAGCATCAACAACTGAAGAGAGACGGATGTGCCCAGACGCTTAGAAAAACTCATCAAATGCCAAGCATATTTGTCCAGAGACAGCGTTTAACCCTTGTATTTGACAAACATCAACAGGAAATATTATCAACTAACTCCAGTCTGGGCTTCATGAGCATATGAATAGGTTACCCACAGTCAACCTGCGCTCTGTGGCTAGAAAATGGAAGCAGTTTTTAAGGTGCTGGAGGCCAGAAAAAAGTGCTGAAATGTAATAATGTGCAGCCATATTTTCATCACAGCCAACAAATGTGTAATGATACGGCCCTTTCTTTTCCTTTGCGGCAGTTATGATTCAGTGATGTGTATAGCGTTATACCGTGTCCTAACAAGGCCTACACTGAAAGTAAAATGTGGCACGATGCAACAAAAGGGAAATCGTATTAAAAATATATTTCATGTTTAATATACAGCTGTACAGTGCGGGCAGGTGCTATCCAGCACAAACAAAAGATAATAAGCTGACAAAATGTGATATAAATTGTGGCTGATACGATAATAATTATTTTGATGTTACAGTCAATAAATGATAAATTAAAGATATTTAAATTGTGTACTAGTGAATTTTTTGATGAAATGTATATACATATATACATAAATACACACAAATATACATAAATATGTACGTATAAAGATATTTAAATTGTGTACTAGTGAATTTTTTGATGAAATGTATATACATATACATAAATACACACAAATATACATAAATATGTACGTATTAGATAGATAGATAGATAGATAGATAGATAGATCATAAAAAAGTCATACAAAATTAGAGTTAACAATGTCATTAACTTAATATTTTTAAAAATTAACTTGAGTTCACACTATATTGCAGAAAAATAAGTAGAATGGAGCATGGAAAATGAAATTTACAGTACTGTATAGCTGTTAGAAAGAAATTACTATTATATTGTGCTTGGTTATTAAAGTGGCAATATTCTGAGAAAATGAATATCTAAGAGAGATGTAGAAAATGTAATCCTAATTAATACAATCTTCATGAGATTCACAAGAATCTCAATCCTTGCTGCCATCACAGAGTAACAACTGCAGTCACCTGAGAGTGTATGAATGCCTCAGAAAGGGAGGGGGAGTGTGTGTTGGCTATGCACAGTAAGTGTGTGTTTAGATGAAAAAGGTTATTAATGTGCAGGAGGTAGTGTATTCAACCTGACACTGAATTATGGATGACATGCAAATGAGCACCCCTGATAGTTGGAGATTTAAAGGGACAGAGGGATTTTCAAAATTCTGATGATGACATTCTACCAACTGGGGGCGCTGCTGCTTTTTATCCATTCAATCAAAAACACTATAACTCAGAGGGAACAAGTAACTGACAAATGGCTTATAAAAAAATTATAGAGGTAAATGGAAATACAACCAACTGCCTCTTGGAACAGGAGGTGATCTGCTGAGTCACCGTATTGATCCATCTTGTTCCCCAAGAGATTTCACCTTTGTCAACAGAGAGGCCACACCAAACAAGCATGTCAATTTGTTTACAGATCAAAAAAATGACCTTTCAGTTTTGATTGTACGAATAATAACTGCATACGGCACATAACCCATCGCAGAGATTTCAGCCCTGCATTAAAATATACACAAGGCTGCCTTTGGTCTACATGGGATGCATACAGAGATAACCAGACTGTTTGTATTGATCCAGGGCATTCAGAAGACAGAGAGCAACCCTCTGCTGATTCTGACAGGCATCACACAGACAGCACACAGAGAGGAAGAGTGAGAGAACATTCTGCTGTCCTTGAACAAACCCCCTTTAATGTGGGAAAAGCAGCAGTGTGGGGACAGAAATGACTTCATGGAGACACTTACTGTCAGTCTAGTGGGCAGATACATTAACAGCAAAAAGCCTCTGAGAATAACTGTCACAGGAGGGATGCTGCAAACATCCAGCACAATTAAAAGAAACTGAATTACTGTTGTGACTTTTTTTTTTAACCTTTGAATGTAAACATGAAAATGAGTTTTTAAATTTATTAATGTAAATTAAATTAATTATAAACACACAAACACTAAATTAATTTAAATTTATATATAATATAATATATTTATATTATATATAAATTTATAATTCATTCAATTGATTTATAAATTATTTTAAATAATAATTTTAAATGTGTCAAATTTTTACATTTTCAAAACGTATATATCAGTAAGAAAAGTATAAAAGATTGAATCTGAAATCTAAATGATTGATAAGGGAGTCAGCCGTCTCCTCAGTGTAGTGCGGAGGAGAAAGTTCTAGACAGGGAAATTGTGAAAACATCAAGTCCTGGAGCTTTCAATGCTAGTGCAAGAGGAAAAAAACAACTGAATCATGCTACTATGGAAACGTATGTTGGCAGCAGGAGAAGTAATGGTTGACTATTAGCAAACCTTCCTGTTCAAATAGATAGACATGACGTCTGAAATATCATGCTGCGACCTTGAATGTGAGAGCGAAAAAAGCAAAGAATGAAAGATGCAATGCTGAAAAGATTTTAGCCTCTTACAAAGGGCTTGCGAGGAAAAGGAAAGTCATTTGGATTTGTCAAGGTATATAAATATGGCTTCTTGCTGGTCATCGGTTGCTATAGTTTGTCAGTTTGGAACACTTACATGAGCAGACTGCCAGGTGCAGACATGGATCTCTCTTCTCTCCTGCTGGGACACTCAAATGGATTCCCAAAGGAACGCTTCCTTAACATGGCTTTGACCAAAATCTACAGTAACAACAACAAGATATCAATTACTGTACATATCAAAGAACACAGATCAGGGCATGTGGAAATACAACACATACAAATACAAAACATTAATGGAAAAACAGCAGTGTGCTAAAAATACTATTTACTGAAATGTGATGGTGAGAAGGACTAAATCCATGAAAATAACAGTTCAGAAGCAGGGTCAGTTTGACGTGGTTAGGTTTCAGTTGTTTGGTTGAGGTCAAGTGTCTTAACCTTCTTATTCATCCACTCATTGACAGCAGTACAAAGTCTTAAAAACATCTGGGCAAGGCGTGTGGCCTCTGCGTGTTTATGTTCATGTAACTACTGTTCAGTAGCTCATGTATTTAATACACAGACGCCCTTGTGCTTGCTCTGTTTCACTTACCACAGCAGACAGACTGGGGACAAACTTCACTGAGTTCTGCACCTCTTCTTCAGTGACTTCCACTACAGTACAGTGCTCCTCTTCTAAAGGCAAATGGTCAGTGCCATCCTGAGTCACCCAGGGGTCCACCTGAAGATAGACACACATACATATATAACACATGCCAACCTATCATTCCATCCATCCATTTATGTACTCTTCCGTTCAATCATCCATTCGCCTAGCCATCAACTGTCCTTCTATTCATCGTTTCATCCACTGATCCTTTAATTCTTCCATCCATCCATCTGTCCATAGATCAATCCACACGTTTTTTTATTCCATCGATTAATCCATTCGTCCATCCATCTATTGTTTCATGTCCAACCATCATCTATTCATCCATCCATCTACAGTATAAGTCCGTCCACCCATTTATTCATCTGTCCGTAGATCAGTTTTTACATCCTTTCTTTCATCCATCCATCCATCCATCCATCTATTGTTTTATCCATCCAGTCATTATCTATCCTTTCATCTATCCATCCAATCATCTGACCATCCATTTTTCCATTCATTAGTCCATTCATCTAACATTCTATCCATCCTTTCATTAATTCTTCCATAAATCCATTAAACCATTCACCCATGCTTCCATTCATCCATCCATATGTCCATAGATGAGTCCATACATCCATCAATTGTTTCATCCATTCAGCCATAATCTATCCTTCCATTCATCTTTACATTTGTCCATTTATCTTTTTTATTTATCTGTCTGTAGATCTGTCCACACATCTTTTCTTCCATCCATCCGACCATCCATTTTTCCATTCATTGGTCCATTCATCTAACTTTCTTTCATTCATTCCTCCATAAATCCATCAAACCATTCATCCACACTTTCATTCATTCATCCATCCATCCATCCATAGATCAGTCCATACATCCATCATCTATCCTTCCATTCATCTATCTATTGGTCTGTCTATCCATCTGTCTGTAGATCTGTCCACACATCTATTGTTCAATCCACCCATCCATCCATTTTTCCATTCATTGGTCCATTCATCTTTCTTTCTTTCTTTCTTTCTTTCTTTCTTTCATGGGGGAAGTCGTGGCCTAATGGTTAGACTCGTAACTCAAAGGTTGTGGGTTCGAGTCTCGCACCGGCAAGGATTGTAGGTGGGGGGTCACTGCTGTGTGTGTGCACTTTGGATGGGTTAAATGCCATACTCACCATACTTGGCCACATGTCACGTCACTTTCACTTTCATTCATTCATTCCACTATAAATCCATCAAACAATTCATCCACACTTACATTCATTGATCATCCAGCCATCCATCTGTCCATAGATCAGTCCATACATCCATTCATCCATCTATTGTTTCATCCATCCAGCCATCATCTAGCCTTCCATTCATCTATCCATCGGTCTGTAGATCTGTCCACACTTCTTTTCTTCCATCCATCAATCAAGCCATCATCAGTCCTTCCATTAATCCATCCATCCATCCGTCCATCCATTTGTCCATTCATTAGTCCATCCATCTAACCTTCTATCCTTCCATTCCATTCATCTGCTCATCCATCACTCCTTTCATTTATCCATCCATTCAAATATCTGTAGATTGTTCCATATATCCATTCGTCTATTCACCCATCCAACCAGAAAATCATTAAAGAAATAAAATATTTGTCCTAAAAACAAAGTTAGTCTGAAGGATATAAGAGTAGAGCTGTTGAGTGAATGTAGGCCGTGCAGCTCTGATTAACGTGTGCTCTGGGGATCGCTGCTTTAATGGAACATTTTCTGTGTAATGACATACAGGCAGGAGTCTCTGATGGCCGAATGTGTGTGTGCTAATTATTCACACTCTCTCTCACACTGAGACAGCAGATGGAAGTTTCCAGAACTGAACCAAAATCTCTGTCCCTGGGGATTAGCTGATGTGTTCCAGCCAAAACACCAACTCTGCTAGATGGTGCAGAAGCTATCAGAGATACTGTGTCATATTTTAACACTATCCCTGGATGTGGCTCAGGAACGGTCTTTGATAGAAGCACTGCTACTTTGAGAGTGCAGACTAATGAGACACTCTCGGGAATGTTCTTTGGACATTTCTTTTTGAGATACTGACTATAATTTCAATATTAAGTGATGTTGCATTCAATCTCTCTGGTATGCATAAAGGTAAATTTAGGTGATTTCTTAAGGAAAAACACATTAATTAATACCATCCAAATCAAAAAGTCAAATGTGGACATTCATTTTAATTTAAATAGAAGAACTCCTAAGTGAATCTTTGAAACTCAGTATTTTGCAATACAGATCTGTGAAGATGGTGAAAGGGATTACTTGCCTCTCTCAATTTCTAAAGTGCTCCTTTTGTGTCTTATGTAGACTTACTTTGATCTCAGGAATGGTGATCCTGGTGTCTGGGTTTTTGTCCAGCATTCGTGAGACCAGGTTCAGTAGGGATGCACCGAAAATATAGGCTACATATAATAATAATAATACACCGCCCGGCAGTGTTCAGCGCGCATGTTTCACTCTCCTTTGCAATATATTGCAGAATATCGCAATATGTTTAAAATCGCAATAATATTGTATCGTGACACAAGTATCGTGATAATATCGTATCGTGAGGCCTCTGGTGATTCCCACCCCTACATTCCATACCACTGGAAACCCATGGCCACGTAGATATTCAGAATTGGATTCAAAATGATGACACTGTGAACAGTTAGTTCAGTCACTGAGAACACTGCGGCATGACATTAGGGAACAGAGTGTGTGTTAGAGAGAGACGCTCTTTCATTAGTTGATTACTTATCCAAACACATACACCAGACGACATGCATCCGGATGGCCTCTGGCCTTCCACACACAGAAGGCAGACTTCATCAACATATTCAAACAGACCTGCAGGATCATACACAAATATGTGACCCTGGACCACAAAACCAGTCATAAGGGTCCATTTTTTGAAATTGAGATTTATACATAATATGAAAGCTAAAATAAGCTTTCCATTGATGTATGATTTGTTAGGATATGACAATATTTGGTCGAGATACAACTATTTGAAAATCTGGAATCTGAGGGTGCAAAAAAATCAAAATACTGAGAAAATCGCCTTTAAAGTT